TCAACCTGGTGGATCACATTTTGAACGTGGTAATCGAACAAGAGGTAGAGGACAAGGACATCCACCTTGGTTATCTGGAAAAGAGATAGGACTTTATTATAGAGATAAGGCTAAAGCAAAAGCTAAACAAAAGGAATCTCGAGTTAAATTACCTTTACATGTTCAAGAAAAAATAAAAAATGTACTAGAAAATTCTAAAGATTATTATGATAAATTATATAACAATGCATATACTGAAGTTACATATGGCACATTGGAAAATAAATATATACATATTCATGACTCTCAGTTTAAAAGAAAGTTCATGAACATGGTATCTGGTAACATACAAGAAAATCTTGCCAAAGCTTTAATGGTTAAATCAAAATTAGAAAGAGACATTGAATTAGATACCAAGTTAATAGCTGAATATAAGGCAAAACAATCTTTACAGAAATATATGGATATGATAAAAGTCAGATCAAAGTTACCATCATATAAAAAAAAATCAGAGATATTAGAATTAATTAAAGAAAATCAAGTTATTGTAATAAGTGGAGAAACTGGTAAGTTTATTTTTTATTTAAAATTAATTCTAAATAATATAATTCCTTTTAAAAAGTACAAGATTATTTATATTTATGTTATCTATTTATTTATTTAATGCATGTATTCTATTATGTATTTATGTATTTTGATATGTTTTTAAATGGATTATTATAGATTATAGATACAGCTATTATACAGATGTATTTTAGGTTGTGGAAAGACAACACAGGTTGCTCAGTTTATATTGGATGAACAAATAGAAGAAGGTAATGGTAGTATTACAAGGATTATTTGTACTCAACCTAGAAGGATATCAGCTATATCTGTTGCTGAAAGAGTAGCAACTGAAAGAGCAGAAAATCTTGGTAAATCTGTTGGTTTTCAAATTCGACTTGAGAAGTATGTTAATTTCTTTTTATTTTTTTATTAATTTATCTAAAAAATGAAAAATTATATTGTATTTTTTTATATATAGAATATTGCCAAGAGAGAGAGGTAGTATACTATTTTGTACTACTGGAATGCTATTGCAATTTTTACAAGGTGATCCTGCTTTAAAAGAATTTTCTCATATTATATTAGATGAAATTCATGAACGATCTACAGAAAGTGATTTTGTTCTTGCTTTGTTGAAATTAATTATTCCTAAAGTATGTTAAAATAACTTGATTCAGAATAAATTTATTATTATTTCTTCTTATATATTTCTTATATTAAATATATAAAATTATTTTTTAGAGACCTGATTTAAAAATCCTCTTAATGAGTGCAACACTTAATTCTGAAAGATTTTCAAAATATTACGATGATTGTCCGATGATTCATATTCCAGGTTTTACTTATCCAGTGGAAGAATTTTATTTAGAAGATATTTTAATGCTTACAGAGTAAGTTTATATATCATTAAAAAAATATATAAAAATTATAATTGCAATATAACTTAAATAATATAATTTAAATTTTAGATTTAAATTTCCTGCAGCAGCTGCATTGCCTCAAGATTATAGAAAGCATACAAAAAAATATAAACAAGTACAACAAAAAAGAGATGAATTTCATGATGTGCTAGATCCTTACATACGACAGCTTATAGCTGAGGTAAATAATCTGCTTTTATTATTATATATATTATGTTTATATTTTTCTTTTTTGTTTTTGTTTATTATAGAAAAAGTATCCAAGAGAAGTGATTGATCAATTACGGAATCCGTACAGTGAAATGATGTCTCTTGATCTTATAGAACAATTAATTAGGCATATTTGTAGAACAAAAGCTCCTGGAGCTATTTTAGTTTTCCTTCCTGGTATGATGGATATAACAAAGTTAAATAGAATGATGTTAGATACTGGATGCTATTCACAAAGTAAGTATATTTAATTTTGATGAATTTAATTGTGACGCATTATTATTATAAACTGTTTGATTTCATTATAATTTGAAAATCTAAAAAAATTATTTTTTATAGGTCATTATGTTATTTATCCTCTTCACTCTCGTATGCCAACTATTGATCAAAAACTCATATTTAAGGAACCACCTAAAGGAGTTCGAAAAATTATAATTGCTACTTCTATAGCTGAAACTTCTATAACTATTGAAGATGTAGTATATGTTATTGATTGTGGAAAAATGAAATTTGGTAAATTTGATATTCAAAAAAATATCCAAACTTTGGAACCTGAATGGGTATCACTAGCTAATGCTAAACAGAGAAGAGGTAGAGCAGGCAGGTAAAATATTTCAAAAAAGTTTAAAGAAAAAATTAAAATATTTTTTAAAATATGTACTTTAATGATATATATTTTTTAGAGTAAAACCTGGTATTTGTTATCATTTGTATTCTAAAGCTAGAGAGATGACACTAGATCAATATCCATTGCCTGAAATGTTAAGGGCGCGTTTAGAGGAAGTCATTTTGCAAATAAAAATTTTACAATTAGGAAAAGCTAGAACTTTTTTGGCTAGTGTTATGGATCCTCCAAGTTCAAAAGCTATAGATTTGTCTTTGGATCTACTTCAAACTTTAAATGCATTAGATGATGAGGAACATTTGACTCCTTTAGGATATCATTTAGCTCAATTACCATTAGATCCACGAACAGGTAATGTTTTTATATATTAAGTATATTTTTATATAATTTTTTATCAATAACTTTATAATACAAATTTTTTTTTATTTTTTTATTTTTTTTTTTTAGGAAAAATGATTATATGGGCAGCATTATTTTCATGTGTAGAGCCAGTTTTTGCAATTGCAGCCAGTCTTAGTTTTAAAGATGCATTTTATTGTCCTCTTGGAAAAGAAGATCAAGCACATCAAAAGAAACTTGAATTAAATATGGGACAATTCAGTGATCATATTGCATTATCTGAGGCATTAACAGGATTTGAGCTTGCATACAAAAGAGGTTATGCAAGCTCTTTTTGTAGAGAATATTTTCTTTCTTTTAATACACTCAAACTTCTTTCTGAAATGAAAACTCAGTTTGCCCAACATTTGTTTCAAATGAAATTTATGGAAACAGAAAATCCAAGCGATAGTAATGCTAATAAGAATTCTAAAAATACAATGTTAGTAAAAGCAATAGTATGTGCTGGATTGTATCCCAATGTTGCTATTATTAAGTATGTGTATTTCAAGTCATTATAATAATAATTAATAAAAATAAAACTCATAGCAAAATTTAAATTATTTTTTAGAAGAGTTACAAAAAATGGAACACTTGCATGGACTCCAGAAGATGGAAGTGTTGCTGTACATCCATCAAGTGTAAACGATAAAGTTAAGAAGTTTCCTAGTCCATTTATTACATATTTTACAAAGCAATTATCAACAGCAATATATTTACATGATACTACATGCGTTACTGCACCAATTTTATTATTTGCTGCTCCAAATATGACTATAAGTATGTGATTTTTATATATAATTAATATATAATTAATATATATATATTAATATTTTAAATTTTTTTTAGAAAAAGAAAAAGGAAATTATTTTATTAGTTTAGCAAGTAGTCAAAACTTTGCATGCGACTTGCAAACTGCACAACTTATTCAGGTATAAAAATAGACATCTATAATATAAAATTTATAATATTTAATAATATTTTAATGAATTGATTATATTAATGAATTTTGCATTTTTTTTACAGAAATTACAAGAACAATTTAATAATATGTTAGAATATAAAATAACACATCCAGGAATAGTACGTTGGAATAGCTTTGAAGGTGATTTATTAAAGTAAGTTTTACATTTAAATATTTTTTCTCTTTCATATATTTTTATAAAAAACATTAATGTTATTTGTTGATCATAGTGCTATTATAGATCTGGTTTGTCAAAAAGATGAGGAAATGGGATTTTGCAATTCTAATATTCAAAACTGTGAAGATAATATATATGATGACGTTTGAATACAATATAATGAATTTCGATAATAATTGCTTTAGAATATATTAAAATAGCTAGAGTAACTTGAATTTTTAATGCCCTTTTTCATTGTCTGAATTAAATAAATACCTAAGACATTCAAATGAAATAATTCATCGACTAAACTATAATTTAATTATAGTTATAATAGATATATCAAAAATATCAGTTTTGTAATATATATTCAGAAAATAAAATTTTTGAAAACAAAATCAAAAGATGAATCGACTTCATGTTCACTCGAATTCTATTACATAACTGTAATATACTACAATATTACATATTAGTACTACACTATTACATATTAGTACTGATATATATTTAATGATATTTTCAAATATAAAAAATACGATTAATATTTATAAAATTATTTTATTACGTAAGTAATGGTACCATGTCAATCACACACAATATATAATATATAATTTTCCAAAAATTAATGATTTATGGAAAAAATGCTATAAATGAAAACTATGAATTGTTTTATATGATCAAAAATGATTAAAATATTATTTAAAATATATATAATATGTTATTCTTAAATATCTTTTTTATTTAATTAGAATTTGAAATGCAATAAAAGAAATATAATAGATTGAGAAATGTAATTATTTTTAACAGAGATTATGATTTTATATATCAATGATTTATATCATTAAGTAAGATTCTATCAATAATCATGGACATCAAATGAAAGAAGGAAGTTTGACAAAAAATTTTCAATTTCAATAATAAATTTCTTTTCTCCATTCTGACCATTTGTGCATCGCAAATAAAAATGAGCCTCGGGTCTGGCACGAGCTGATAGCTACCGCGAAGAGAAGTAAATAGGGGGGAGAGAAAGAGAACGAGTGAAAAAGAGGGAGGGTGGTTAGGAGAGGGACGTTCTGGCAATACACGAGCGAGGCACGTAGCGTCCGATTCAGTCTGCATCCGACCGCCGCTAGTGTCGCGTCGCGAAGCAGTGGTCGAATTTCGGGGGGGACACGAGACTCCGATACGAGTCAGTTCGTGCGAGTGATCGTGATACGACACCACGGTCTTTTATCCCGTGTCTAAGCGGGCATTTATTATTCATATTTTGTATTTTCTTGAATCGTGATTTGTAATAAAAGAAAGGAAAAATTAGTGAGAAATCGCAGTTGCGTGTATTGGTGTTAGAGAAAGAAAGAAAGAGCAGGTCACTGAACGACCATACGAAGGTAGGAAGAAGGAGAGAGAAAAATAAAAGACAGACAGAGAAGGATTTTCGTCGCGACATATACACACGTATATACACGTGCGAAAGCGAGGAGAGACGTGAAACACGCGCGTGCGCACCCGCGTAACACATATACACATATAAGAAAGAGAGAGAGCAAGAAAGAGATAACGAAGACACGGCGCAGGAAGAGGCAAGAGAATCAGTGACACTGGGAGGGTCGAGTATTCCTCGTGCAAAACCGCCACCGGAATATATGTCGTGAGTGTGCGACCGAAGATCCGCGGATAGAGGCCGGCGATAGTGCGTGCAGAGCTTTAAGAAGCAAAAAAAAAGCAAAGACTCCGGGTGAAAAGCAATGCGGGTTCATTGACTGCGTGCCGCGCAATGGCTGCATGTTCGTGGCCGATGCACAGTGCATGTGTGACAGGAGCTACGAGGAGGACGACGCCGAGGACGACGAGGTCGAAGATACCGGCTACGGCCAATATCGAACTCGAGACCTACTGAAATTCTGTTCGAATTCTGTATGTGATTGAGGACTCGAGGACTATCTTGATCAAAACTGCGATAACAACGAGAAACGTTGGAATTTTTCGTGCTTTTTACGTGAGTAGTTTCTGATATTTTATTAGAAAATTAGCTTGTAAAACTGCATTAAATTCTTTTTTTTTTCTTTCTCTCAAAATTTGTAGAATTAGAAGTATAACCTTTCGCTTGAATCTCGATAGACATGTTCAAATCTCGAGACGCCATTTCGAATTCTCGAATATCTTCGATTTACGATAATCGAAATTCTCAAAAATACCAACATTCATTGCAATATGCCGTGCCATTTTAAGAATTCTTGTTCGTAAGATGTTGCCATGCATTATGGCAATACCATCGAACTGACCTAATTTTTTCATTACTTTTACGGTGTTTGGTAATTTTCGTTTTCTCTTTCGTGTCGCGTGAGTACTTGTTTTAAATGTGAGTTTCAAACAGAGAGAACGTGTTTCGAGAATATCAAGGGCGTAAGGTCATTCACTGCAACCGGTGTTTTCTCGTTCAAAGGTTGTTCGTATGTCAATGCCCTATTGTTGGAGAATATCTTGATCATGATCGGGAAGATATCGATATTTTTCTCTGAAATTCTTGTAACATAGACTCCAATGATTTGGTAATTGTGTAAACTGTAATAATTCTTCGAAAAATTAAATTGAGATTCTTAAAATTTAAATTGAAAATATAAATAAATCTTTGAAGTGTTTGTGAAAATATTGTTGCGTAGTAAGGATTTTACGCAAGATTCAACGAAACAGATATTTTCTCATTAAAAATTAATTCCTTTACATTCGAGGACGAACAACTGAAGGACGCGTACGTCATTCTTGCAATGACCTTATCACCAATACGCTGACCTTACCTACTGTAGATATTAAAAACATCGTAACAATATATTTTTATAATAATACTTAATTATACAATTGTTGAGTATTAATATTTTTTTTTAAAAAATATTTATATTTTGAAAATTTTTAAAAAAATTAAATTCTATCAAAAAAAAAAAAAATAAGTTAATAGTCTGACTTTTTACTATCATTTTATTTTTGTTCATTAGTTCACTTTCTAATTTTGTATCTAATCAAGGAATGATAGACTTTGCTACGAGTTGACAACACTTTATCTTTTTGTATGTTGTTTCTATAATTTTCTGTTCATATATATATATATATATATATATATATATATATATGAATATATAATTTCTTTTCTCGGAAATTCGGAAAAGAATTTAAAACAGGAATAACTGGACGAGAAAAAATTTCGAATATAGATCATCTAAATATAGAGTACTGACTCGTTTTTTTTTATCGAGAAAGTTTATTCTTCACGAATGCAAGGTAATTTTAGTTGCTATTTACAAAATGAATAATATTATTAATGTAAATGACAAAAAGGGACGATGTTGAATCGGAGAATCCTGATACGTATTTTCAATGATGATTATTTCAATTAAATGTACATTTAATTCCCAATGCTCGAAAACATCGATTAGACCGGATAGTTGTAGTGTTGAAAGGAACAACTTCGCTTTGGAACAAATCCAACCGGTTAACTTGTGTATTCTAATCGAGTAAATCAGGATAAGTACGTGTTTTTACCCTGTTCACACATTTGATTTTGTAGTAATTAACTGGTATGGAAGTGGAAAAATTAAGTTATACATGGCGGTTGATTTTGACAAACAGTTATTTGCATTGTTTATGTTTCCTTTGTCCGTGCCAAATTAGTTTTTCCCGGTGCATTGTCATTCGTCTATTCTTATCTTGTCTGTGTATGCACGCACGCGCGTACATTCTTTCTTTTTCTACCATTCCATTCGTAAAATTAACTGCATGATAATTAATTTATTCGTAAATTCAGTATAAATATTCAGATAATATTGTAAAAAGCAAAAATCTAAAAAAATTTATTTTAATTTATTCATTTATATTGTTTGAAAAAAATAAGTGACAACAAAATTTCTGGATTATTTAATAAAAAAAATAATATATGTAATTTTATGATATAATTATTACATAATATTTTTAATTACAAGTTTTTTTTGTAAAATTTAATAAATTTCATGATCTTTTTGAATAGATTTTTTAATTAATTTTAATTTAAAGAAAATAAGGTTAAGGTAGATTTATCGAAATACCGTTTTAACTATCAGACGTTACTCGAAAATTTAAAGTTGTAATTTTATAGATCACCAAAATTCAAAGTTGTAATTTCATTCGTTATCGATTGGTTAATCGTGTTCATTGATCTTGTCGTTTAATAGACCGAGATCGTTGCACCCATAAAACGTACTACTCGCAATGAGATAATTGTTCTTAATCATCGTGTATATTCTCATTGATAATACACATCATATATTTTTAGCTTTATTAAAAATTTTAATAATATATAGTTTTATTTTTTTTTCTTGCAAAGCAAACTAAATCGCATGTCAAAATTGTTGCAATTAAAAATGTTTAAGACATTCGATAAAAAATGTGAATTTTTAGCGTCCACGATATGTAAACAAAACATTAACGCCATATGAAAGCGATAAAAAAGAGAAATAATCCATTCTAGAGATTCTTTTATCTATTTTTCGATGTTATATTTTCGATCAATGCTTGTGATCGAATTAGAAGCTTCTTTTCGTACCATAACCTTACTTAATATTGTCGATTTCGACCTGCGCCACTAGTAGGCGTGACACAGCGAATCAACAGTCACGTGACGATATATCGATATATCGATAATTTCACTGTTTGAAGGTAGATACGCTTGAAACTATCGAACGGAAGTGGAAAGGTTAGTTTGTGATCAGTAGTTTTGCACGCGAGGCCAAAAAATTAAAACAGCATTGATTGATTGCAACTTAGGACTGTATTACTTGACTCGACTAATTAGAAATGCTTGTCAAAAGCCTCCTCTGACCGGGAAAAAGGAAGATATCTACGGTACACGAAGCGTTCTTCGTATATGTGCTACTCATCCGTGACTAATGCTTAACAGTTGGCGGGTGAAAATTGGCGCGATGTAAATATGGGACGAGTTCTCATGCGCGTGGCGTATATCCGCTCGATTTACTTCGTCAGCTTCAAACACGACATATAATATGACCTATTCGCCTTCACCATATTCATCTTTGTTCCCGATCGTAAGAGGATTCCACAACTTTAAGCGACTGACAAATTTCGATAAATAATCAACGATTCACAGTGTAATGGCGACGATTCGGATTATGCCAAGAATTCGGAAGTCAATTGGCACGAACATGATGTTTCATACGTTGTTGAATAAAAATAGGTGACCTATATTGTGCATACATATAATATATGTACAAATATTGTTATTAATACGATATATTTTTATTTCACGAAATCGAAGTGGACTTTTTGAATGCTTCTTTGTCGTTCGGAAGAGGTAAATGTTGCACTGTAAGAAATGTTGGCAACATTTTTTATTTACGTTCCTCGCGATCTGTTTGGAATAACTTCGAGCTACAATAAGCTTCAACGATTTTCACGTTTTTGCTTTCTGCAAGATGAATCATGCTTTTTGGAACAATAAAATATACATTTTTTTGTATATTTTATAAATCAACAGTATTTGTCAAAGCAGGTACAGTCATTTAATATGTTATACTTTGACAATTTGAAAATTGTTGATCAGAGTCAATAATGTAGACGGTTAATTTATTATATGATATATAAAGCGTATTTAAAGAATATAGAATATAAGAACTCGAAATGTTCAAAATAATTAATGAATCTATCAAAATAATGAATCATATCGGTTATATGGCTTTGGAAAAGAGAATATAACAACAAAAAGAAAAATAACAACAAAGATTTTGTTTTAGGTTAGAAAATAATATCTGAATTTTTTAGAAGTATATATTATAATCGTGCATTCGATTAGAAAACCGCTATTTTTGCATGAAAAGCTTACATGTCCCATTTTTGCATCGGTCTCGTCTCTTGTAACGGATTACCCAATGGACACGATTACCTTCGGTGCTAATAAATGATCATGAATGAACGCGTGAACGCAAGCCATTCTCTCAGCCACGCGCAAATGCACTATATTATAAATTATGTTCTATTTCATTCTGCTCTTTGAAGTTCATATCATTTTGTATCGAAATAGGAATTTCTAAAGCTTGTTTTTTGATAATATTTTAAAAAATGTTTTAAAGAATTTTAGGAATCTGCGATAACAACTTCCATGCTTCTCATTAACTTTAATTTAAAAACCAAACATAATTTCTTTTTCAATTCATTACTAATTCATCTTTTTTTTTTTTTAGGTAACTCGGTTACTACTGGGCTTCAACAAAATTCTGCGCATCCATTTGCAGATATGATCTTAATTTATCAGGATACACTTATGAACACTTAATCAACATTTTCTTATAAATCTTCATAAAGTTTTATCATTAATAGTCTCTTGAACTTCTGAATTTTACCAAAGACACGAAGAGAATCCTGACACAGACTTTAATCCAGTTAAATTATCTTTTTTAAATTATCTTTAAGAAAAAAAAAAAAAAAAGGAAACGAAAAAGCTTATTTGCTTCTCCATTGTGCTTCGTGCACCAGATTTATCTAACATAAATCTTCGATTACCAATTTTATCCGGACTTAATGCTTGCGACCAGGTGTTTGGACAGAAAATCGGCACGAAGTCGCGGCAGTACCTGGAAAAAATGTTCATTTGCTGACGATTGGCAGCAAAAGCAAGCAGATCGCGGTGGTGAATCGTCGTTGAGAATCGCGTCGGACGTGTTGAGGTGGCGGGACTTAGGTGAGGATATTCCGTCGCGTTTGACGTCGTTGTCGTCGTCGTGGTGCGTTGTTCAGCCCGTGGTTCGGCAGTGAGAGAAAGATAAGAGAGAGAGGCGGGCAGCTATAACCGGCAACCACACGGTGGACATGATTATTTCAAAGGATCTGTTCCTCTTTGGCGACCAAGATTACCTGCGCCTTCCCAGCAACGAGAAGCGCCAGCAACGGGCAATGGGCCGACCGATCATCAATGCTCCCAGGTAAGTGCCTACGATATTTTACTCATTGTGTTTTAGTTTTTTAACCTTATTTTTCTTTCTTTCTTTTCTTTTTATTATTTCATGGATAAATGTGGAAAAAACTTGCTGACGAATACGTTTTGCTCGGAACAATTGGAAGATTGCTTTTGTTAAGCTACTTTGTTCATTATATGACATCGAGTCACGCATGATAATATTTTAAAAGAATAAATTTATGAATTTTATTTCGTTCTTTTATAAAGTATAGTGTGTTTTGGAAAATTTTAAGTAGATAATTCTTTTGAGCAACGTATTTTTGAGCATAGTTATTTCATATGAAATAATGATTTTTAGAATTTTATTTGTATATATAAGAAAAAAATTGAACACAAATATTATCTGTATGGATTTAATTTTATATTTAATAATTTGTTCGATCCGAGATTAATTATTTTATATATTTTAATAGGAATTTACTATTAGAAAACGAATTTAATATTTCACCGAAGGAAAATATGATATTATTTCATATTTGAAAAATTTTAAATTTACGGAATTAGGCGATACAAATCACACACTCGCAATTGAACTTCTCCAACACGAAACTTCTTCTTTTTCACAAATATTCCAAATCTCTGCTTACTATCCAGAATCTTTTAAATTATTAATGAACTTGATTCGTTGTAAACAAAATTCACAATCACTTCAAAAATATTTACTCCAAAATGATAATAACAACAGCAACAATAGCAACAATAAATACGAGATAATCAAATATCATATTCTTTAAAAAAATTCTCCAGAAGACTAAGATTTTTCGCGAACAAAAAAACAAAAGGAATAAAAAGAAAAAAAAGGAAGGAAAGTGGCAATTAACAACGCGTACTAGCGCGACTGTTAAATCCCTTATCATGACTGATACAGTCGATGATCTCTTTCGAAAGAAGACCGAGCCGTCGCCCGCCCCTTATCTATTCGCGTCATAAAAAAATATATCATCGACTAATACGTCGGCAAATCTCGACGGTGGTGTGCAATAAAAAATGTCGAGAATTGGTAAAATTCTCGTCTCGTCTCGTCTCGTCTCGTCTCGCGACCTTCTGCCGTGTCAACGGGCTCCTCCGGATGATTCCGCGACATTCTTTATTCGTATGATTTTATTCATGATTGCTCTCGAATTTATCGAAAGGTTGATCGTTGCACTATGATGCATAGATGTAAATATGCGCATCGTCGTTCGAAGGATGATAGGATACCTTTTAGTCTCGATAAAAACTTTAACATTTGAGGAAGATAACTTCAACAAACTAGAATTGTAGATCTAATATAGAATAAGTAGATAAATTTAATTATAGAATAAGAAACTTACATTATTTTAAATCAATCAATTTGATCGATTTTTTGTGATTCCAATGTTAAATCAGTTTTAAATCAGTGTTAAATTTTAGTTTCTTTCGTATCTTTTAATTTTTAAATCGTAGATGATTCTACGATTCGTGCATTTTTCTTCAATTTAATTCCCCTATCGGAGAAGACAAAGAACAATCATTCCGCTTCCTATCTTCTTTCTCTTATTCTATCTCCGTTTCTCCCTCCTCGTTTCACGTCTTCGACAAATTTATTTATAAAAACAGCGTTGTTTGTCGTGGCTGATTTAACGAGCGTCGACACACTCTGGTTGCTTATTTGTGCATGTGTTTGTTTGATCGTGCCTTTTGTTTCCTTGCCTCGTCGACACATTCGTTAATACCGCGTAATTCCGGAGCGCGATTCGAGATCTCGAAATATCTCTTCGTTCTCCTTGTTTGCTTTGTTTTTTTTTTTTTTTTNTTTTTTTTTTTTTTTTTTTGTTGATTTGTAATTCGTCGCGCGACGAGTCGTCTCTTCGAGGAATATCGCGATGAAATTTTCCAACGCGGAACGCGTTGGACGTGGATTTTCATCACGATTTCGGACGAGATAGCTCTCCCTAGGGATTTTGGAGGGCTTTGCGCGAGGATTCTGGAGGGATATTAGGGATTTTCCCTATTCTCGAATTTTTAGCGACACTACGGCCCATAATGGTACCGACTTAATGGAATTCTATAAATTTCCATAATTCTCCGCTAGGCTCTTTTTAGCAATTCCATCCTTGGTATCTCCTTTAAGATTTGATTCCTTCTTCTTTTCATCGTGAAAATTCTTCAATTTTCAAAGATACTGTAATTTTATTTGTACGTAGCTCAAAGTAACGATTTCGAGATTTTATAAACATTCTTTTCAATTTTCTGGATTAGATAGTGGATCATATTTACGCGTGGTTACGATACTGATCTTCAAAATTGTTGGAAAATTGTTTAATTTAATTTGACGTGCTTTTAAGCAGTAGTAAAAACTTTTATAATTTTCCTCGCGTATCGCGGAACATTTTATCGATCTCACAGAGATGTGGATGGATATATCATGCAATAATACATCACGCAAATTCTCCACGTTTCATAATTTCTCGAAAGCTTTACGTAACAATATTTCAACGTTCCCCCGTACAATTTCGTCCCCGAAAGAAACTCGACGATCACCTTTCATCTTTTATTAACTGCTGCTATCATTTCCAGATCCAATTTTACACCTCTTCACATATCAATTGGGCAGTTTCTCTTCATTAAATTAGACGTCGGCCGCAATCGGCCACTTCCGGCCCTCCCGACAGAGTGAAATCGGAGGAAGGAGAGAGGGGGGGGGCTTTGATCAGGTTTTGGAAACCTGTAACCCTCTAATTACCGAAGCTCGGCCACCTCTTCAAAAGGGTTTTCGAGAGAAAAGAAAGTTGCAATTTCGTGTCCACGAGCGCGGCACCATATTTCGGAGAAGCAATAAATCGCGTTTTTTCGACCGGAGGCGGACCTCTCCTCCTCCTCCTCCTCCTCCTCCTCCTCCTCTTCCTTCTCCTCCTCCCGGGATCCGTGTTTTCGAAAGCGTTTCGAGGTATCGATTACCTTTTCGTCCTTTCGAAATCGTACACCGCCAATCGTATTTCCCGATTGCGGACGAATTTCGCGCTCTCGACGTTTCTGGAAGGTGAAATGCGAAAAAGAAGCGAGAAATAAGAAAGAAGCGTGATGAAGTTGCGCTTCGCGTATAAATCGTATATAATCACGCTTCGAAAATGTGAGTGGTGAAGGAGATTAGCGGTTGATTTTTTTTTATCAGTGTCAACGAACGTTGTTGATATGAGAGAGAGAGAGAGAGAGAGAGAGAGAAAGAGAGTGGGAGTCTTGGCGAAATTGCGAATAAAAAGAAAAGGAAGGAAAAGGAAGAGAGAAATAAGAACGCTCGAAATAACGAGTGTTATCATTGTGCTGTGGGATGCGCGGTCCTCCAAGTCTGATTTCTCGAGGAAGACGTTCGTAAATCAAGCTTTGTTTCTGGTATATAAAAATGTGACGTGACAGATAAGTTTCGCGTTTTATCTTCTCGCTACCATTATCGCTCTTGCTACCAGCCAATCAATATCCAAACTTTCGTCGAACATTGTTGGTCCGATAGATATTGTGTTGGCGATTATTTCTTTTTTCTTTTTATTCGCGATAATTTGTTGAAAATATGCTTGAAATTATTCCATTTTAATATACGCATTATTATTATTATTATTAGTTTCAAATATAAGAAAGTTTCCAAAATTCCAAACTTTCAATTAAATAACCGAATTAAATAACCATCGATCGATTTTTCCGAAAATTGAATATTATACACACAAACGAAGTATGAAAACAACAATATTTCTAGAAACATTATCCTCTATATCTTATCCAATACTCATTCTCCCTTTTCTGGGAGAAAAGGGAAGAAGGAACTCAATATAATTTAACCTAGCTTTTACTCCTAAAAAGAAATAAATTACACACATACACATCTCGAGATGTGTGCAAGATATACGAATACGTTTATCCCATTTTCTTTTTCTCGCAAATCGTTCATTTCACCCGTGTTGGAAACGTTGAAAGATCTCGAATCTCCTCATCGATCGTAGACAACCCTGTCACCTCTGCGCCAACGAGATATCCGCCGATTTTTCTCGCTCGGCGACCGGTCCACGCCCATTCGCCCGCTCCCTTGCCCACGCGACGCGATAAGGAGAATGCGAGCGTGTACGAGCGTGTATCGCGAAGAGTGGGTCACGCATGGGAAACTGGAACGGTTTCATCTCGAGGCGGAAGACTCGATTTTTCTCCCGAGGAGAAACCGCCGATTTTTCTTTCGATCGGGCCCCGGTTTCTAGGTTAGACACGTGTAACGCGCGCGTGATCTACGGGGTGATCCGTGCTATTACTATAACGAATCGGATGGAAATTATACATCGAAGTTTTGCACCCATATACACGAATCGGTTGGAAGTTATATATCGAAGTTTTGCACGGTGTGCAACATGAATTGTTTCGATAATAAGATTATTAATAGGACAATATTTTTATATAATTATAAATAATTATAATTTATAATCGTTGCAGTGTTTTCTTTTTTTTTAAATAACGAAGAGGTTTAGGTGGAGAATTTTCTTCGAATTTCTTCTGTTTCTTTATTCGTATTGTTTCCCAATTTTAATAATAATAATAATAATAAAAGATATCGCGAGCTACTTTATTTTAATCGTTATTGCTTCTCAATATCTAATTTTCGTCGACTCGTGTTTACACGTGTCGAGAAATATCTCAATACTTCGGGAGAAAAAAATAATAAGATTGATAGAATGTCTCAAATTGATCGAATACGTTAACATTTAAAGCAGTCTGTATAATATGAGGAAATATATAAGGCAGGCTGATGTTAACCAAAGGGTTGCAAGAAGAGAAAGCGGTAGAGGGAGTCGTAAATTAAGCCCTTGCCTGTAGCAGGTTAGAGAATAAATTTTGAAATATTCTTGGAAGATTTTGAAACATTCTATTATATAATTATCCCTGCGTTTTACTTAAATCTATTTTATCAAATCCTTTAAAAATTTCTCACTGGTTAAAATTCTTTTATAATTCGGCCGATTAAAAGAT